GCGTGTTATCACACCCAGTCATACACCACGTGGTTAAAGCCTACAATTGCCTAGGATTTTGCACTAATAGAAAGGAACTGTGGCTCAGAGTCCAGCTCTCACGTAGTGGGTCTGCGTGCTACTACTCTTCGTCATAAAATGTCTGGTAACAGTCTATACTTGGGGTGTAGGTACTTCAATATGCGTTGAGTGTCGTGCGAGGTCATTGTCTCCGGCCATTGACAAATCTTGAAGTCACTGCTATTGCATTGCTGGCAAACTGTTGCCCCCCGTTAGACAGAGGAAGCTTATTTGAACAAGAGAATACGTTCTTCCAAACACAAAGACAAACTGAATTTCACAGTCAATGGCCATTGCTTCGTCATGGTTAGTCTATATCTTCGGTTGCCACGATAAGTTATATTTTCTGTCAAATGGAAAAGTTTGAAGCAAACAAGACTCAAATGGCCTTCCTTCAGCTGCTTTGAACCCTCAGGCATCGGAGTCAAGACAGAGAGCTAATTTGTGAGTATGAAACGTCTATGTCAATGCAATCATTCAGTATGGATATGAGACATGGTTATTGCACTCGGAAACTATTTACTATCTGAGAGTACTTGCTTTATGGTGCCTGCGTTGTGTTATCCCATATCATATATCTAATAGTAAACCCCATGTACAACTGTTGTGTTGGTTGGGAAGAAACCGTAATCTCCTTTTCGTACTCTTAGATTAAGTTGCTCCTGTGATCTCCTGCGCCATGCTGTAAGCGACATAATTTTTCATGTCATCCTGCGTGAAATCGACTCTGATTAGCCATGATCTCGAGGTTTCCAATTAAAAATTTGGTGGGCGCTGTGAAAGTTAGCGTCCAGCGCATTTATGATCCCGCGGTCGTCGGTCTGCAGAGCTGATGTGCCAACTCATTTAGCTTAGCTTGGGTGTTTACTACTGAACTGTTTCATATAGTGGCCGCCACATATAATGCGACGAAAATATAAATGCCAACACAAGACTAGATGAGTAAGTGCGATCATGCGCCAAGCAATAACAGCTACCGAATCTTTTGACAGTTGCGAACGACAGGGTCATTTAAGAACAGATCACTAAGGTTAGCTCGACCTTTAGAATTCTGCAGTCTTAATTCTGGAACTGCCGGGTAATCTACTGCAATATCAGGCTAAAGCTGATAAATGCAGTCTTACTGAAAATGCTCAAATACGGAAGAGAGACGCACACTTTTTTTAATCGACGCGAACTACGGAGGTTTAGCACAATGTAACATAATTTCAGCTGAGGTTCCGGAGTAAGAATGAATGACAGTCCTGCAATTGAATCGCTTTTTTAGTCATCCACCCGGCGTGGAAGCAAATTTTATTTCGATGGTAATAATATTCATGCATTCTTTGCTGGACTACCAACAGAAGGTTATTAGTTTGCAGAAACACGTTCCAGAAAGCAGGCACAAATACAAAATTTTAAATAACGTCCACTACCCAATATTTATAAAAGACTCACATAGAGCCATTAGCTATGCTAGATCTATGAAGGAGTACTTGAACCATAAATAATGTAGGACGTTTAAAACGGTTGAATATTCGGAGTCTTAAAAGTCTTATCTCACCTGCTGACATTGAGAGCGCATGTTCAGGAAGTCGATAAAACCAGCTAGACTCCCCAGAACATAAAGAACTATCAATCCATTCCACTCTCAAGGCACAGTCGGGGCATATAACGCCTCAACTAAAGGCCATCGTATTATCATCCTCATTATCGGTTATGACGAGCCGACGATCGATCACGAATCTTGAGGAAAA